CAGTCTTCAATAGTTATCCCTGTGCTCTGGGGATAAGGCCTCCATCCTAGCATGCTTCTCGTTTTTCCAGGCTCTTTCTCAGACTCACATGTCCCTGCTGCTGTCCCTGGTTTTGTACCCTAGTCAGAATGACACCAGGAAGCAGATGTAGTCTCCTTCCATCTATCCCTCCTAGGCCTCCTTATTCTTAGGACTTTACTTAGCAGAACCAGTCACCTCTTCAGACAGGCCCTCCTGTTGTCCTGTGTGAGTTGGGGTTCCTCTTCTGCAATCACAGCTCCCATGCACAGCCATCCTGTAGCATGCTTCTCTCCACAGAGACAGAAAACACTTCCTGAAATCAAGGGATGGGAAGGCCAGCAGGCAGATCCTAATGGTGCTGGTTTAAGATCATGGATGTGGAGACCCGGAATGTTGGTGATAGGACATCCTTTCTCTTCTACTCCCCAAAAGAACCTTAATTTTATCCCAGGGACAACATGTATATAAAGTTTATTTCTTAGCGTTCCTTTGTGGGGGGTTACTTTGTGGTCCAGCCAGGAAGGCTCTCTCTCTCTCCCTCCCTCCCTCCCCCCACGCACGTGTCTGTGTGTGTGTGTGTGTGTGTGTGTGTGTGTGTAGTTTGCTTCTCTGCTGTGAGCCCATCCCCTTCCTGTTTCCCATCTTCCACTTCTTTCCTGAAATAGAGAAGGCTGGAGGAGGAGCAGCCATCTTGTGACCATGAGCTAGCCCTGTCACAGGAGCCACATACTAAGGAACCCTGAGGGAGTCAGGTCATGGCCATGGCCCTCTGACTACCCACCAGCAAACCTCATACAACAGCCTGTGAGGTCCAAAGGAACTCCATTTCCCCCAATCCCAGTGGGCAAAGGCCAGTTACTCATCCCCCTTGCAATGCTGCTGTTTGGGCTATTCTCTTTCTTTTTTATTTACTCCACTCCACCCAACTCTGGATTCTTCCAGGTGCCTCTGGCTGTTCTCTCCTTCATGTCTACAGTAAAAACCTTCCCCCTAGCCATTCCATGGAGGGATCATGTCATCAGTTCACACACAGGCAAATAAGTCTCATTGAAGTCGCTGTGATTGGATCTCCACTGCATTGAGTCAAACTGTACTGATAACATTTCTGAATAAACACTTCCTTTGGAGGTGACACACTGGCTCTGATACCAGGGCAGCATAAACACAGGAGAGGTGGATTCGCCCTGGGAGTCTACTAGAAGAGCATGGGAAGGCCACACACATTGAGGAAGAAATTCTAACCACTTAGAGGCTCCAGTGTGAGGTGACATTGCTGTACTAGACAACTTTATAAGTGCTTGGGGCTAGAGAGATTGTTGTCAATAAAGTACCTGCCTTACAAGCAGGAGGACCTGAGTTCAATCCCATGTAATCAAAGAAAGTGAGTCATGGTGGCATGGTTTATAACATCAGGGCTGAGGAGGCAGAGACAGGTGGACCCCTGGGGCTTTCTGCCCCCCTCCAACCCTAAGCCACTGAGTACCTCTTTCAAAACCAAGATGAGTGACATCTGAGAAATAATACCTGGGACTGTCTTCTGGCCTCTCCACCCTCCACTCCCTCACACAAAAGTGCTCATGGCTGGGCTTTGTCAGGCAAAGCTGAGCTCAGGGTCTCCAGCGATGTGGTCTTTGGTCCCTCTCCATTTGACTCTACCAGCACCCTCACCTGCAAAGTCCAGATCCTCAAAGCACCTATCACTTAGATCTAACGTGGGTGGTACATGAACTCTGCAGAGCATCAGGTACAACCCACCATGGGTGTGGTCATCTGTGTCCAGTGTAAACTGAGCGTCACCTCCAACTCTGGATATCTGTCTGCGTGTTCCACCTTACCAGGGACAGACAGAATGGTGATCAAGCTTGCTGCCAGTCTGGAAGATCGGTCTGTACATACCTCTGCAGGTGAACAAAGCAATCAGAAGTTGTCCACTGTCCAACAGCCTCTGCATGTTGCCCTGTCCAGAGCCCTTGGTCTGTAGGTACATTGGAAGAAGTTCCAGAGCGCCAGGCCAGACAGAAATTGGACAAGCATCCGATCTTGGATAAAAATAAGGCACTGTGTGCCACCCTTCACCCAGCCTCTGTCCCCGGTATTGAGGGGCATCTTTTCCTGGGCTGGACTGCAAGAGAGGACACTGGAGTAGGAGGCTAGAAAGAGGACTCCTTCGCCGAACTGCCTTAAGCGCTTCTGCTGGATCTTTTGGCTTTTTCCGGAAAAGGCTCACCTTCTTTCTCTCTCTAAGATTCCAGTCCAGTATGGGGAAAAAACCTTGCTCACTCCAGTCTTGCAGAGGTCAGTGCGGGGGCAATCCTGTCAGAGGAACGCTTCCCTTTGTCCCAACCCCCAACACTCAGGCCAGACCCGCTGACACTCGACAGCGCCTGCAGTTTACCTTGGCTCCTTTCCAGTGAGTTCGAGCCCAGCCCTGGGGCGGCCCCCACCTCTCCACCTTGTTACGCCTTCCCACCCTCCTCTGCAGCGCAAAGAGCAGTTTAAATATAAATCAGTCCTCAGCACAAACAGAGCTTGGGCGGCGAGTCTCCGAGCCATCACCGGAACCGAGGAACTGAGGGCCCAGGTTTGCGGAGCGAGTGCAGACACGCAGAGCAGGGCTCTGGATAAACCCAAGAGCCGCCAAGGCTCCTCTCTCACTTCCACCACTTGGAGACCCCGCGCCCCTCGGGTCCCTTCCAACTCCCCACCCTTTCCCTTAGTGCTGTGCTCACTCTCTACCCCACCAAGTCTCCGTTGACCTGCAGCCTCCTGTCTCGTCCATCCGCGGTGGTCTCTTCCTCGGGGACCTGCCATCTCCCCGTGTGCCACCTCCGGGCCTGCGGGACTTCCTAGGCAGCCGGGGCTCACCAGCTTGAGTCCTAGAGCTTCTAGGCTTCTGCAGCCGCGACAGCAGGGCCCAAGACACCTGCATGTAGAGGCGACAGCGGCTGGGCGGGGGTTTGCAGCACCTCTGACACCCGAGGAAGAGAGGGAGGAGGGAGAGCGCGTTTGTTTCATCACCCCTTATAAAAACTTCGGAGCGCTCGCTCTCTTGCTTAGTCTCCCGCGGCGCGTTCCCCTTCTCCTGGCTGCCACCGTTGCATCCCGAAGCGCCGAAGTCCCGCAGAATCTGCCCCCCGGACTGTTGCTACTGCCTGGGCCGGGTCAGGGGCCGTCGCCTCTGTCAGGATGGGGCTCCTGCCCAAACTCGGAGCGCGCCAGGGCAGCGGCACCTCCTCGGTCCCAGCCAGACGCTGCTCCCGCTCGGTCTTCAGCAACATTAAGGTGAGTAGACTCAGGCGACTGCAACCTATGGCGTCAATGAGTCCTGTCCGGGAGCTCTGAGTGCACCCGGCTCGCTTCTCTCTGCCGGGTGCCACATCCTTGGGACCTGGCAGGGAGTATGAAAGGGCGACTACAGGGCGATAGCGATAGCGTGTTCTCTCTCTCTCTCTCTCTCTCTCTCTCTCTCTCTCTCTCTCTCTCTCTCTCTCTCTCTCTCTCTCTCTCTCTCTCTCTCTCTCTCTCTCTCTCTCTCTCTCTCTCTCTCTCTGTGTGTGTGTGTGTGTGTGTCGCGCGCGTGTAAACTCACAGGTTCTCCTGGGGAATAATAGCCAGAAGAATAGATGAACTTTCACTCAGAGGGAGCTATCCTGTTCTTCCATGGAAAAACAACACCTTCAGGGAAATCTTTTGGGTCTCAGTCATGGCCACGTTCTTCCTTAAGGAGTGGATCCTGAGGACGCCAGTGGGCAACAGGCTGTAAGCACCCTGAGATGCCGCAAGTCAGAGCGCGTTCCAGGTGGACCACAGAAGCATGCTTTCCTTGGGCAGGCTTTCATATTTGCAGTTGTCACGGACCAGATTGCTACCTGGCTGCAAAGCTCCCTGAAGCTTTGAGAAATCCCCTAACTCTTCTGGTCTGGAAATGACCTCAAGAAAACCGCAGGAGCTCGAGGTTTATTAAGAAAGGTCATAGGAGGTGCCTGCAGCCTGAGTTACAGGAATCAGGGAAGAAAAAAATGGGGTGTTGGGAAGTGTAAGGATGAGAATGCAATGCTTTCTTTGATAAGGGTCAAAGGTGAGGTCCACTTTCTCACAGGTCTAGAGGGACCTAGAATGGGGGAGGGGTTCCTGAAGAAGGCACCTCCTGTGAGAGCCAAATGACCCTATGGAAGTTAGGAGGCTAAAGAACCTATGTCCAGGCACCTCAGGGTTAGGCAGGAGTACGGTGCTGAGAGATTATTTCCCACAATCCTCCCTTAGATGCAACCAGCGGGACACTATGGGGTATCTAGACCTTACAAGGAAGGTTCGGGGCACCGTGGGCAGGCTGTATGTGTCTAACAGAAAAAGACTCGGAAGTCAGAGGGCCTGCCACCTACACGCTTTACCTCAGGCTGTTACTGGTGGAGCTAGGCTTCATTGTGGAGACCTCTGCTTTGGTTCCTTCCCCCACCAGAGTTTTAAAAAGTTGCAACGATTTTCCCCTTGGAATATTAATAACACAGAAAATGGAAGATAACTGAAAACAATCCTCAGGTCTCCCCCTTTTTAGCCAGACCTGGATGGGAATAACACGTGTTATTTTGGTTTTACCAATTTAGAGGGACTTGGAGAATTGTGAAGATTTTTATTTTTTATATTTTTAACTGAGGAATTAGAAGGAAAGGGTGTGTGCAAGGGTTGTGTGTCTCAAAGGAATGGGTTTGTGGCAGGATTGGAGAGGGAGGACTCTCTGAGTTTCCCCAAGAACGGTGGGAGGGGTGGCTGTCCCAGGATTCCTGACAGTGAGGGTGACAAAAATGAGCTGTAGAGTTCAAGAATGACCATGTAGAGTTATCCCCTAATCCCCAAAATAAGTGGATGGTAGCAAACTCTTTGAGAAGATATAAGAAGACAAAACTTTCACATGCCTGAGATTTAAGCCAGAGACCTGGACCCAGGCCAGTTGGCCTCTGAAGGGAGTTAAGTGCTCTTATCTATCAGTCAGGAGTTTTGCTTGATTCTGTTAAAATATCTCTTTGCTTGGTGGATAATAAGTATCAGTCGACAGGCAATTAGGAGAGACCCCACCTTGGCATCCCTATAAACCAAAGCCTGGTTATTCCAGGAGACCCCAGGCACACTTCCAATGGAGAATCCCCCTAGCTTTTCCTTCTTGACAAAGCTATGTCTGGGGCTTTGCTATCTGAAGGGAGATTTCTTCCTCTTGATGACAGGTTGGGTGACTGCCCTATACTTTTCCAGTAGGGAAAAGGTGACCCAAGTGACATGGGGGAAGGAAACAAGGGACATGAGGTTTTGCTAGAATCTTTGTCACTGGGATGGATTATCAAGAATGAAGTTGCTGTAAACCCCATGTTCCACCTGGTTCAGGAGAGGGGTAAAGTCTGAGGACAAGATCCATGCCCCATCCCTGCCACTCACTTTAAAGAAGGGAACATGGCTCACCTTTCTTGGGCCTCTGGGATCCTTTCTTTAAAAAGTGGGTGTCATGAACAGTTCCCACCCATGCACCTCAGAAAGAACTACCTGGAGTAAGAGTGGAAAGGGTCTCCCCAGGGTGATTGCCAAGTGAGACAAGTTCTTGAGTCTATAAACAAGACTGCACATTCCAGTGTCATTTAGGAGCCCCTGATTTCCAACCTCAGCACCACATTGTGGACCTGTACAGGTTCAAGCCGGATGGGGCCCCAGCACTGAGAGGGGGGAGTGGGCCCCATCTCTAACCAAGATGCTATTTACAATTGGTATGTACCAGCAAAGGGAAAATCGGTGTTCTTTAACGGAATGTCACAGGAATATCAGCCACACGTCAAGGCAGACCCCATGTCCAGTAGCTGGACAAGACAAAATGGGCTCCATGATTTTTTGTTTGTTTATTTTTTTGTAGGCTTTTTATTTAGTTTGGGCATTTTTTGGTTTATTGATTTTCATTTGTTTTGATTTTCAGTTTTGCGTTTGTGTGTGTGTTTTTAAAGAGAGAGGGAGAAAGAACAAGAAGTTGGGTAGGTAGGGAGGGAGTTGGGCAGGATCTGGGAGGAATCGGGGAGGGGAACATGATCAAAATACATTGTACAAAAATTTTTAAACAAAAAAGGAATCTTTAAAACTGTTTAGAAGTAAAAAGACATAATGAAAATAAGAAAAAAAACTGGGCATAGTGGTCCTGTAATCCCAGAATTCAGGAGATAAAGGTAGGAGGATTAGAAGTTAAAGGTCTTCATTGTCTACATAGCAGCCTCGTCTACATGAGACCTGTGTCAAAAAAAAAAAAAAAAAAAAGAGAGGAAACATTGTCCCACTTATTCCATGATGCACAGTTATTACTTAACAGCTACTGTTAATAGTATTCACCATAATACTCATAATAATATCGACAAATAATAGCTAACAGTAGTTGAGTCCTGTGAATGGACAGACTTTGAGAGTTTTGTACCCACATTCCATCTGCTTTCCAATTCCACCAGGTGGATAGTATTACCAATCTATTCATGAGGAAAGCAAGGCTTCATAGAACCAGGAAGGGTCGGCAGGGAGAGAAATGAGGCAGGAGCAGCTGGAGAGCAAAAAACTGTTCTACCCAGCCCCTCATTGGTACCACACCTTCTATTCTAGATCCATTAAGTGGCAACAGCACAGTTGACAGTACTTTCTCCAGGTCTGGGAGATATCCAGGAGGGAGATACAGTGGTACCCAGACAGACACCCTGAATGCTAACCAGCTGCTGCCTCTTCACTCTTCGTAATGCTCAGTGAAAGAGCCTTGAAACTCTTAGGGAATTTTTTTTTGTACTGTGTGTGTGTGTGTATACACAAGTGGACACATATGCACAGATATGCAGAGGTCAGAGGACAGCCTACAGTATCATCTTCAGGAACACCTATCTCCCCTGAGAAAGGGTTTTAACTGTCCTGAAACTCACTACTTAGGCTTGGCTGGCTGGACCCCCAGGGCTTCTCTGATGTCTACCTAGTATTAGGATCAAAAGAGCCCTGGAAATACAATGTAAGTACTTTATAGGTTGGGCTATCCCCTTAGCCCTTTGGAAGTGTTTTGTTTCCTTTTTTTTTGGTTTTGTAGGTGGAATTCAGAGGCCTGTACAAGAAAGCATTCTGCCACTGAACTATCTCCCAAGCCCTTGGGGTGAATTTTCACACCCCCCTCCTGCAGGAGACATCTCCTGAGATCTGGTTTACAAGATTCTTAGGAAGCTGGGAACCTGCTCAAACAATCACTGTCAACTGACTTAGTATAGCCCCAGGACTCCAAATTAAAAACAGGTTCCTTCAGAGATCCCAGGGTAGGACAGCATTTGCTTTGAGTCCTTAGGAGGGCAGCCTCAGACAGGTCTGAGGCTCTCTAAAGTGAAACATCTTTTTGGAGTCTAGCTGAGATTATCTTATAGGGGGAGTGGTCTGCTGGTGATGGCTGCCAAACTTGAGGAAAAGCCACACCCATTGAGGGGTGTAGGGGCACCCGGTGGAAAACAGTGGGAAGAGAGGAAGGAAGGGCCCTTGGTTTGAGAGGACTAGGAGCACAAATGGTGGAAACGGACCCTTTTTTTTTTTTTTTTTTTTTGCCTGAGTCTGTAACTTCTGAGGTCTCTTACTCCCAAAGCCTGGGGAGGCATCTTGAGCATCGCTTCTTGGTTTCCAGAATCGAGGACAGCATGCCAGCAATCTAGTCCACTCCCGGGAAATGGACTCCCTGCACCGAAGAACAGCAAACGAAGACTCACCCACTTCCCTCCAGGGGGCGCATTTCTCTAGCATTCAGAGAGGTATTCTGTTCTCAGGAGGCCATCTTGGCAAGCTTAGGAGAGTAGGGAGAAGGAAGGATGGGGATTGGTGGCTTCCCGGGTGATAGGACATTGGGATCCTCTCTGGGACGATGCTCAAAGCCCTCCATAGCTTTTCTCTTCCCAACACAGAACAAATGAGAACAACTTACATTTCTGCAGGCAGAGAGCCTCTTTCATCTTTCCTGATTGTGACATGACTATCTCTTTTTCCATGCCAGGAGACCCAGCCTGGGCTGTTGGGATGAGGGGCAGACTTCTCCTCACCTTCTCTTGTCTCACCGTGTTATCAGCTACCTGTTTGTAGGGGAAGCTCAGAGGCCTCCGACTCCATACGCCCCATTCTCCCTCTTCCGGTTCTTGCTTGCCTTTATCCCACGCCATGGTTTTAACCACACTGTGACAGCCTCTTTATCTGTAGAGGCATGGGCTGCACCATATGGAGGGGCACATTGAGAGGACACGGATGGGGAGACTCAG